ATTGCGGCGCAATTACGCTTGCCTCGTTTGAAAAGACAGGACAGCGCGGGACAAGAGGGGGCCTTGAAAAAAAAGAAATGACATGCTTTTCGTGAGGAGGCATAGTCGGTAAACGGGTTACTTATTTTGCTGGCCTGCCTGCCTCTCTGTCTGTCTGTTTGTCTCTCTGACTGAATGTCTGTCTTTCTGTCTCTGCTAAGTAAAAAGGCAGACACTTAGCCTATGTTTTTAATGTTGCAGGCAATACACACTTGAGGGACCTACACATATTGCCCAGAATAACACTGGTGACTTTTATAGGCCCAATAACAGCCTAACTGGACCCTGCACTAACTATTTAACCCTCCCCTTCCTCACGTTAGATTCAAACTGACAAGAGGGGCCTGTCTAATTTTGACTTTGAAACTGTTGGTTTTCATTGCTGAAGTCAGCGGGTGAACATGCGCAGACGCAGCTGTCTGTTTGAGTGCAAAATGGCTGAGGACGCCGACAAATTTAACAGGTCTCCTTCAATTGTGGACCTCATATATGCAGAATATAACAAGGAGTAAACAGAGCTCTGGTAGTTGTGCAAGAGGAAAATATAGAAGAAGGCTTAAAATGGAAGGCCTCTGCTTCAGGTATGCACAGCCCAAAGATGGCGAGCGAGACACAGAGTCTCTGAGGTCTAACAGGACCCATAATCTGCATTGAGGCACATCTAATGGGTTTCGGTTCTGAACAAAGAGCTTTTGCAGGCTTCTGTGGCTGGATATTGTCCATGTCGGGTGGGATGGCGATTAAATGCACAGCTGAGAGGGACCTGCTTCTGTCTGACACTGCGCACGGGCGTGGGCTCAGACGCAGACAGACACAGACACAAACAGACGCACACCTAATTTGACTTGCGCTCGTAACTTCTCTGACAGTGAAATTCATCATCCGTTCATATTCTGACAGGCCCTTTTCCCAGGGGCCCCCACTGGCTATCCGAGCCCATGAGTCAAAGCCAGACAGTCACCGCCGATCCAAGTCCCTGGATAGAGAAGGGCCTAGGGACAGCCAGTTTGAGAATGAGCAAATCACCTGGGCACGCCTGTCTCTGGGAGCAGTGAGGAAACCAGCCCAGCAGGATAACCCCCCCTGACACGTGGAGAACATGTAGGTGCAGCACACGCATACAGACGACGGGATCTGCGTATGTATTCCAGACTCCAGACCAGGGAGGCTGTAGTGCCAACCACTACCTCACCACTATGCCCCAAACTGCCGCCCGTCTGTGCCGTTATAATTCATTGTGCTCCTCTAATATTAAACAGGAGTCTGTGAATGGATCCCTCATGCTTAATATCAATCCAGAAGAGAGAGAGAGACAACACAATCATAAATGTTCCAAGGCTTACATCTGAGAGTCAATCCAGGGGTGAGGTATGGCCTATTAACAGCAGATCTTAACAGTCCAGCAGGACATGTGTACCTCCAGTGGAGATGTTGAGTTGTTTCTCAAGACTAATAAAAAATTTTAATCTACTGAGGCATGTGGGTCCAAACAAAATACAGGACAGCTAGGGAATCGGTCTGGTAACCAGAGGGTTACAAGTTCAAAACCAAGAATAAGGCATTGCTGTTGTGCCCATGTGCAAGGAATTTAATGTGAATTGCTTCAGTGAATATTCAGCCAAATAACTATGTGAACAGTATGTCAACAGTCAGGTTGGTCCTGGATAATAGTTGTTTGCCAACCAAGCATGCAGTACAATTACAATCAGAGTTATTTGCTTTAGGTAATTAATATTATATTTCCAGTGGTTCCTAAGCATGTTAAAAGGTAAAGGAATATCAAGTCATGGAAAGCAAATCGTGTCCCAGGCGTGTGACAGGAGAGGACATCAAAGTGTTCACACAAGGGCACAGAAGTCTGTCCTCGCGAGCCATTGGCCGGTCATGGGAACAGTCCCCTGCTTTGCCCTTTAGGATTTAAACACATGGTGTGGGATAAATCCCTTCACCAAATGTCCCCTTAATCTCGTTCCAATGGATCCATTAAACTCTGAAAAGTTAGAAAGAAAGCAAACCCTAACCACAGTCTTCCCAGTGGCCCCAGTTCCAGTGGGGATGGTTCAAAGCCAGTTTTCCATCTTCTTTATTGTTTTCCCCGGGTTCGTTATTTTACTGTTTGGTTTCATCCATTCATTTATTTATTAGATCTTAATCTGAACACTAAATTTGAATTTGTTATTGTAGAAAGCAGACTGGTAATGAATAAAGCCACTCCTGCAGAGATTAAACACACTGTGTTCTCATAAAATACAATATGTCAACCAGGCCTGTTTATCTTAAGGGAGAATGTGAGAAAATATGAGTGCTTATAAATGCATTGTATACAAACAGCACAGGAATAGCACAGCATCATTCACCTGTCATGTACAGACAGAATGATCCCAGCAGCTTCCTCACGGATAAGCACACAATGCAAGCACATGTGCTACAGACACCCACTGATATTCTAGGTTTATTCATGCTGTTCATTTACTTGCACACGCACACACATGTGGAATTCATTTATGGTCCAATCAGAAATAATGTTGGGTACGCTGCTGATGTTGAAAATGATCAGTCATTGCGCCCATGTAGGCTTTTATGATTAGATTACATGTGTTTTTTCTCACACGAAATGCAGAAAGGTGTGTTTTTATTTGCAAATATTTCACGCCTGTAATAGTGTTTCAGCCTAGTCTTAGCTGTATCATGTCACCAGCCAACTTCGCTTTGTTGCCATTCTCAAGAAGTGAACGAATTAAACACTTTCCGGATGTCTGGAGCACTCCTATTTCCACAATACGGCTTTACTGGCCTATCAACAAGGACAGATTTGTGGCTCCTAACATGCTTCATAGGGAATGAGTCTCATGCCTGTAATTGCTTCAAATGACTGTTGTGGTAATGGACAGTCTGGCTTTTCACTTTGTCTGTACGAATTTCCACTACGGGTACGTAATGATTGCAAAGGTTTGAGGCCGGAGGGAAGCACATCGTTTAACCATCACTGCTCCTGCCTGTCGCTCCTCTTCAGTCCTCTGCACTGTGACAGAGGAAGAAGAGAGAATGACATGTGCCTAGCCGTCAACTGAAGGGAAACCTGTCAGATTAACGCTGCTCTCTCCTCTCCTTCTCTGACACTATGAGGAGGGGTTCACTGTGATATCACACATGCAGGGAGAGCTAACAAAGCAACACAGCTCTGTCTCTCCCCCATTCCAATCTGAGCAACAAGGTCAGCAGCAGCCCAGCTGCTTGCAATGAAGAGGTCACCATGAGCAGGACTCACCACCCTGTACCAGAGGATAGAAGCCAGGGCCTGGCATCTCTGCCCTCATCACTGCTGGGTGGGTCTCCACCCATAGCCCACCCGTAGTCCACCCATAGCATCACCCAAAGCCCACTCAAAGAATCACCCAAAGCCCACCAATAGCCCCCTCTGGACTTCTAACGGTTTCTGCACTTCTGTAGTGAGCTTCTGTAGTGAGCCGATGGCTATTTTCATTCACAAGCCTTCCTTGTGCTCCTATTCCACTGTTTGTTTGGATTTCCATTGTTTTCCAGCAGTCTCTCGACCTCCCTTTCCTGGGCTCAGGGAGTCATTTTCCATTTCTTTCCCACCAGCTGGCTCTGGATTTCAGGATTTTTCGATTCCCTCTGGAAAACGTGAAAATTTGTGAAAAATGTTCTGTAGCAAAATCAATTTTTATGATAAATGGATGAGCGTGTGGGTGGAAAGGGGGCTCTCTGAGAAATACAGGTCACAGCTACACACCTTCATAAAGTACTCCCTCATCCAAACCTGACCTTCTGTCAGCCTGTTAAATGTTTAATCCACTTCTGCAATTGTTGGTCCCAGGGTAGCATCACCTGAGGGTATGCTGCAAGCCCTATATATGCTACAGGGCCTCCCACTGGCATGCCACCAGCTCTCTGGTACAGCTTGATGATGACAGGGTCACATGATCACATCAGCAGTTAGAGCCAATTAAGGTTAACATTTGCAACTGTCAAAATCTATCTTGAGGGGAAGTTTGACAGTCAGAAAAAAATCTGTGACACCCTGCAAAGTATTTACTTGCATTAGCAGTTCTTTGAGTGACTCGCAGGGAAATGACTGTGTATGGATGCAATATGTGAACAGGTTATCAAATCATACCACACTGCGAAAATATTTTCAATTATACATTGGTTGGGGTGAATCTCGATGTTGAATAAAATGAGCATGACCAGTATGGTTGGAAGGGGTTTGATCATTTTTGTGTGCACTGTGTGAATGCGTGTCTCTCTTCCTCCAGCAGAGCTTTACAGAGGAAAGCTTCCTGATTGCTGTAGACCCTGGCTGTAGGATGTGAAGTCTCAGGGAAGCATGCAGTGGGACTGATGATTAAGTTAGCGAGGATTTGGGGCCTGATGGATGTGCTGGACGGACAGCGTTCTGCGTCTCTGGGCCGACCGGAGACCAGGCCTTCCCGGGCTGGGTCCCTCGGGGCCCCGGGAAACAAAAGCGCCAGTGTTGCTGACCCAGCTGCGCCGCGGCAGGTTCGCGGTACCTGAGCTCTTCCGAGGCCCGGCAGACAGCGCTGGCATGGTGCCCGCCTGCAGAATGTGGCACGGAGGCGTCAGAGTAGCACCGCGCGGGAAAAAGGAGGCGCGGCGATCGATTCCGGAGAGACCGCCGCTCCCGGGCTGAACTGAGTCACCTTCCGCTGGGCCTACGCCAGAGCCCTGGAAAACAGAGATGCTGGGGTTAGGGGACCTGGGGTGACGCCTCAACAGTTTGAGTAACATGAATCTCACTGAGAACAGCTCCTTGCTCATGCTTGCTGCCGTGTTGAACAGGAGTTACATTACATTATTGTCATTTAGCAGATGCATCCAGAGACACTTACATCGGTTACAGTTTTTACACATAATCCATTTATACAGCTGGATATTTTACTGAGGCAACTGTGGGTTAAGTACTTTGCCCAAGGGTACAGCAGCAGTGTCCTAGCAGGGAATTGAACCAGCAACCTCTTAGTTATGAGCCCTGCTCCTTAACCACTATGCTACACTGCCGCCCCTGAGTGTCCAATGGAGCGAACACTGCAGGCTCACAGTAAGAACTGGCGCCCACCTGCAAAGAGACAGAAGAACATGGAAACACGTCGGCTCACCAGAACACGGAGGCAGTTGTCACTTGTTGCGACAGCCTCGGAAAAGTCTCCCCTGGCTGCGGAGCATGGGTCGTGACAGTGCAACGCACGAGGGGAAAAAACAACTCAGCTCATCCAGCTGACGAGAAAGACGGTTCTCAGAACAGTGTCGCTTTCACGCAAGGCTCCGCTTTCACGTGGTTTCGAAGAATCTCTGACAATAAAAACGGAGGGGGAAAAAAAAAGAGAAACGCTGCATATTTCTGAGCCGAGCGCTGTCATCCCTGGGGAGAGATGCGGTAATTTGTCAAAGCGGGCCGATTGCGCAAAAAGCTTTGCATTCGGGATCCATGGAGTATTTATCCCAGCCAGGCCCTGCAGAGGGCGCTGCTGTGAAGCGTGGCAGAACCTGGGGGGGTCTGTCTGCACGGGGCTGCAGAGGCACAGCTGCGGCCTGACTCGCCCCTGGACCTTGACTCGCGCACGTGCCTCGCATATAAAAAAACTTTACTGCACTTCCCATCCAATCGCCGGCGAGTCATGCCATTTTTACAGATCCCAGATCAGCTCGTCCTCTTGGCTTTAATGCTCCCTCACTGTCAGTAACAGTACTCGTTATCTCCCGCACATTTTTATGATTAAAATCATTATTAAGAAATGGAACATTCGAACAGCTAACTGCCCGGTGATCAAAAACAGCCTCTTTCAAAATGCACAATAGAAACCTGTTGAATGTTCTCCGCTTGTGCAAGTTCCTACAGACTACAGTTTATGGCTTTCTGAAGGCTGTGGTTACATGCTCCAACCCACAAGATATTACATGAGTAGACAATTAAATGTTGCACAAATGGAAAAACATCATGAATGAGCCCTTCTCCCTGGTGAACTCTCCATGCCCCCTGCAGCAGCTGCAGCGCTCTGGATGGCTGTTTTGGATCCTGCCCCTGATTGCTCCTGGTGTAATGAGGTTCAGAGCAGCGGTTTTTGCATCAGACAGATGCGCATGTCACCTCGCGTGCGGCTGGATGGCTTCCACCGTCGCGAGCCCGGTCCGCTCCACTCCATGGTCCTGTGCCACCCCTCCCTGCACCTGTGGTGGTGTTCCCATCACACCTGTCACAACGCAGCAGCACCCCCCACAGCGCTCCTGCCAATCAGAACACCCTGCCCCGCCCCAAACTCCTTCCAACATCCGCCATCCAACATATCCAACATCTTCACCTTGCACCTTGTTTTTCCTGATTGTCCATCAAACCCCTGAACTATTGTTAGCTTACAAGGGCAGATGTAGATAGATTTTTACAGGGGCGGAGGGTGGGGGAGGGATGGCTGGATGGACAGATGGGGTATATCTGTGAGATACTCTTATTTTATGGAGCCTATTGACAGAGAGCAGGCTTCTGGGGCCATCTTCATCATCCCTCCAGCGTTGATCAGACTCCAGTCCCCGGGCATTAGAGAGCGGCTGAAACACTGGAGACAGCCATAGAGAGCTGAAAGCCCCTCCTGAAGGCAGAGACAGGAGAGCACTCCCTGCATGGGAGCCGCAGACAGCAGAGAGCTCTCCCAGCACAGGAGCTGCAGAGAGAGAGCTCTCCCAGCACAGGAGCTGCAGAGACAGGAGAGGTCTCCCAGCACAGGAGCTGCAGAGAGAGTAGCTCTCCCAGCACAGGAGCTGCAGAGACAGGAGAGGTCTCCCAGCACAGGAGCTGCAGAGAGAGTAGCTCTCCCAGCACAGGAGCTGCAGAGAGAGTAGCTCTCCCAGCACAGGAGCTGCAGAGACAGGAGAGGCCTCCCAGCACTGGAGCCTCAGAGAGCCCAACACGGGAGCGGCGGAGAGCGGGGAGATCTCCCGGCACGGGAGCCGCAGGGAACCCCGCGGAGCTATCCGTAACGCGGCCTGTCGTTCTTGGCCGGGGCCATGGGATATTTCACACCGTATGTGTAGGAATACAGTCATCAGAGTAAATCAGCCGTGTCATGAGCTCTCTTTGTATAATAAAGAGGAATGCTGGGCTCGAGCAGAACCCCGGGCAGCCTCGGTGCTCTGCAGCCAGAGTAAACGCTGGAAAATATCTCAATGGATGGAGAGATTCAGCCATACTAGAATCAGCACATTCAAAACAAACAGTTCTGAAAACACTGCGAGACGGACAAAATCGATGCACCGCTCTAAGCCAGAGGGAGCGTAGGAATTAGCAGGGTTTCTGGGAAAAGCCTGTGTAGAATATTTACCTCCAGGAAACAAACACCAACTCCTCCACCAGAAGGGGATTATTGTATTTTTGGAAATTCCAATCTATCTTTCCATTTGGAGCCCGTCAGAAGCCAAGAACCAATCAGTATTGTCAAGTGCACCTAAGACAGTTACAATGCCCTGGAGGACTCTAAAGAGTAGTCTTAAAGAATTACTCATTAAGGAAATCTTACTGAAAAGACATTATTCCAGGTTTCTGTATATCACACAGTATCAGATTTTTGGATGCATTTACCATGTGGAAAAAACTTGATCGGAATGAAAGATATGTTTGAACTTCCACCGGGCCCTTACACTCCTATTGGCCTCCCATGACATTAGTGCCATCTAGTGGACTGAACAAACATTGAAACATTGAAACATTCTGATTTTCTTGTGACAGGAAGAACAAAGATGATGCCTGGTTCTTGTTTTAGTGTGCATAGTGTGTGTGTAGTGTGCAGACCTACACTTAAACCTCTATGGTTTACCATTTTTATAAAAACAGTAAAATTTCACAATTTTCAAATATTTTCTTCTTGTGTGGGAGACCTGCACTCCTACATGAATAACATGTTAAAGTGTAACACATCAAACAAAAGATTCTCGAAAGATTAAAAGTCTGGAAAAAAGCACTGTGGTATTGTTGGTACCCATAAAATTTTGACTCCCCAAAACAGTTGCCAAAGGCTTGTGGGTTGTGAGACATTAGCATCACTTACAAGGCACATGTAACAAGGTAAGCAAAGCTAGCATGACATCATGAAAACAATGTAGCAGCACAGCATTTTGTCCTGATTGCCATTAAACCTGGATCAAAATGAATGAGATCATTTTTCTCAAGGGTAACAGTCAAAGGAAGCAAGAAAAGTTTTTGCTTCCTTTTGCTCAATTTTACCTCTTTTTTTCAAACCAAAGCCCTCATGTGACAAACACAGTCACGCACACAGACCATTTACATGGCAGTCAGTAGCACTGTACTTCACTGCTTTAAAGCCTTAAGCTATGAGACTAAAACCAAGCACTCCACCCTTCTATGGCCGAGTCTGTGACCTCACCGATTCAGACACTACACTCCAGCAGCCATAAAGTAGGAAGAATGGAAAGGATACAAGGGCGTGCTGCCTTCAAAGATATCACATTTTCTTCTCCTGTGTTCGTCCGGCTGATTACCAAACCCTGACCCCAGTGCAATGATTCATGGTTGCATTTTATTCAATCCAACCCGAACATAGTCCACAGCCTTGGATGCAGGTGAACCTTAAGACTAAGGACTTGGATCAAAGTTCACATCCTGGAAATATGGAACTTATTGTCATATTCATTTTTTTATTATTATTATTTCTATTTCCATTACTTTACTGAACACACCCATGAATGTACGAACTGGTGACCCCAGGAGAAAGGCTTTAATCTGCCATGTGTATTGCTTGGCAGATGCACTTAACCAGAGTGACTAACAATTTCTCGTATTCTGTAACTCGTTTCATTTACTGTTTTTTTCTTATTGTTATTTTGGGGGGGTAAGCGGGGTAAAATGCTGTGCTCAGGACCAACCACTCAGGATTTGAACCCGCAACCAAGGACGGGCGAGCAAGGGAGGGTAAAGCAAAGGTGGTGGGGTGGGGTGTAAAGGAAGGGATGTGGAAAAACAGGTCCTATCATCACGGCTCTGGGACACAACTGGAACTGATTATACTGTAGCTCTGAAGCCATCACATGACAGCGGGAAGACAGAGACAGGGAACAGGGGCTCGTTTCACAAAGGCGGGTGGGATGGGGACAGGGTGTGTGTGTGTGTGTGTGCGTGTGTGTGTGAGACACAGCGTTGCATAGTGGTAAGGAGCAGGGCACTGTAACCCAAGGGTTGCCAGAACGATTCCCAAGTGTGGCACAGCTGTGGTAAAAATGACTTGCTTCAGTAAACGTCCAGCTGTATGAATGGATAGGGTGTGAAAAATGGTAAGCTATGCAAGTGTCTCTACATAAGAGCCTCTACTAAGCAAAAATATAGTCTAATGTACAAGGGTGTAGGCTTAGGTTCTTGCTGAGAGGTATGGTCTTCAGATGGGTCTTTCATACCACTAGGTAGCACTAATACTTCACAAACACACTGATGGCGCTTTATCACCAGTGGTTTATATCAATAGCTTGCACTAACATGAATTGATTCATCAAGAAACAACTGCTAAGGAACAAACATCTACACAGAAACTGACAAATAATCAACAACAGATTTTTCTCTGAAACACAAATTAATAACACAGACGCAAGCATACACACACCCAGGCCAACTTGACATACAGGTCAAATCGATGACATAAAGCGTCTGATGAATGTGCGGCCTCAGAAAGAACACACCCTGGATTTAAAATGGAAAAACGGCTGATCCTAAGATCAAGTCAATAGTGTGCCATCCCTGGAGGGCATATGCGGTTTGAACAGCTATACCAGCTTTGCCTGACAAGGCCTTGTTATCACTGTCCAGAAAAAGAACAGAAAAAACTGACATAAATGTATGACTTCAGTGGTCATACATTTATGTCAGTTTTTCAGGGTTTAATTACTGACAAATGTGAATGGACATGTACCCCTTGCTTGACTTTGCAACTCAAATTCACGACAAAGCAACGTGTAGGTAGATTGAACAGAGGCCTCAGTCTGGTGTGAGGGTGGAAAAGGCAAGC